GACCATCCCAACAGTCTCACCCAACAGTTTCATGTGGATGAAATCGTACAAGATAAAATTTTATAGAAGTTATGAAACAAATATATTAAAAATGAAGTCTGTCTCTCAACACTGTCTTCCACACCTAGACATAGGAACAACCCCCCAAAAAACAATGCAATAAGGCATCCTAGAACCATGCTCTCAAATACAATGTTAAAGCCTTCTAAGGCAAGTAACACCTGTGGGTAAAGAATAAAGGAAAACCAGTTTAATCTGTTTAGATTATAAATTTGATCTGATAAGTCCTGAAGCTACAATATCACTTCATACTTAACCCTTAACCAGTCTATAACAATATTTAGGCATTCATTCTGAATCAATAATCCTACATTTCTTGGTTAGCAGTTAGCATCAGTATGATCACTAAGACCTTGCAGCATTTCAGATTTAATTCCCCAAAGAAACTTGGGAGTGTGGATTAGTGCTTAACTGCAACATGTAATTAGGCTGTGCTGAGGAAATAAAACAGGTGCTACATTCATGCTCCCATATACTCTGAAGCACTTTTTTTGAGACTGAATGCAAAAGTGCTGTACAACAGTTAATGATGTCAAATGATCTCAACAGGCACATAAGCAAGTGGTAAGAATACTATGGCAATGCAACATCTGCTCTGAATTAAAAAAAAAAATTCCAAATAGCCCCAAGTTGTGCTGACACATACAGCTGTAGTCTAAAGCCACAAGGCAGATTTTATTCCTATTTAACTGAGTCCTCACAACTCTTTTTATTCCTATTTAACTGAGTCCTCACAACTCTTCCCAGGAATCAGTAAAGAAAAAACCAAGTATGATTTAAACAGTATTAAAAAGTTTGGAACTGAATAGTCAGGACTGCATGAAGTAGCCCAAAAGTAAGATGTTCCATAACATCTATAAGGATTGTAGGAGACTCCAAGGTCAAGATTAGTATTGGTAGTATTTAATATAATATTTAGTAAATAAAATAGTATTGATATTAACATTATACTATTAACATTATCCAAATCCATCCATGACTTAATGCCAAATAATGTTGTAGGGGTTTTGTCATATGTCATATATAGCATATAGAATTTTTAAAAACCACTAAATCATAATTCTATTAAAAGTGAAGCTCACAGAGAGCTTCTAAACTTCTAAAACTTCTAAAATCTTCCAGATTTATTCCCAAAACAATTGTATGCTTTCTAGCAGTTACTAAGAGAGATGTATCTGAGGAAAGCAAACATCTTGTTTAACTCAAATACATCAACAGTAACAGGACAGTAACAGCTATTCCCAGTGACCAATCTAAGAAAACATAAAGCTATCTTTCTTATATACAAGAAAACATTTCATGACTAAGTATATAATAGAACCAATAGATGGGGGGCAAATTCTGTGATGATCTTATACTTTCTTTAAAAACACCAATGTCTCTCAGAATAATGCTTCATTATTTTATGTAATTCCTCTAAAATCATGATAATTGGGGTCTAAAAGAACTTAAGAGTTATTTGCTGCCAGGTTACTTCCTTATCATATCAGCTTTTTACAGTTAGTTCGAAAAGACAGGCATCTTTATCACAAGAATTTTCTCAAAGCAGATAGATCTTCTCAAATATTTCAATGAAAATAACTCAATATTTCAATGTAAGTTATTTAATAAGTTATTCAGCAACAATATAATTATCAGTGATAGTAATATTCATTAATATTCAATAAAAAATATCTGGATCCCAAATCTATAGAATTAAATGTAAAATCATAGCTTTCTAGAAAGATCAAATGTAATATTTCATATAAATCTTACTCCCCCCCTTAAACTACAATCAATATATTGATAGACACAGCAAAGGAGAAGCTATTCCAATTATAGTCATATTCATCATTTTATTAAGCATATTTCATTTTCATTAAAATCAGCATATTTTGAGCATAAAAACATTGAAAGTGCTCATGAAAAAAAATCAAAGCATCATTACATGGAAATCATTTATTATAGTTGAAAACTATCAAATGTATCACAATCCTTTAAGTTGTTCAGGATAAAAATAGAAAAAAAGATAATACTATTTATTTGTCCTAAATGCATACAAATAATAGTTCAATTACTGTAAACTGGATTTGACAGTCTTTGTGTTCATCAACTTCAAGTTGTATGGAGATCCTACAATTAATAACTTGCAATATTAGGCATACCTTTGAAGTTCATGACAATTATAGCCAAGTAACCTATGCTCTAGGGCTTCTGATATAAATCTTAATTACTGACAAAGTACACAAATAGCTTTAATAAATATTCCAAGGAGAGGGAAACATGATTCCATCTGCTTTCTTTTCTTAGATTGATCAGTTTGACTGGATTGAAACATTATATCAATTCATATACCCAACCACTGTTTCTGTAGCAACAGCATATTCATTACCCACTATGTTATATCAAAACTAAACAATATACTGCAAGAAGCAATTGGCTTTCCTATAATATTTTTTATCCATACACAAGACATTCTTAGGAATGTTTCTCTAACTCTGGTGAAATGCAAATAGGTTATCTGCCAAAACAGTTTAGTGCCTAAGGAATTATATAGAAAGAAGTTGTTAGAAGCTTTTGACTGATATTCTGAAAAACAGAACAAGGCCTAGGTTATAAGACTATTGCCTATGGAATTTTGTGAAAAGTTTTATGCTTACATATTTCAAGCCAACAAACAATTATAAGATTTTATAAGAAAAATTCTATAGTTGATGTTTAGATACAAGCATTTTATTAAATTAAACCTTCTGAAATTAAAGCTAATTACATAATGTACTATTGATACCTCATACTGTGACCACTCCCAATATTTTCCCCTTATTTTGCTACTGTAAATGAGCATTTATACTTTTTCATAGTTTCTCAGTATGTTATATGTTTTCAGTAAGTCATTTTTTGAATACTGCAGAAATTATTGGTAACTTTATTTTAAAAATATTAGTGATAATTTTATAGTGATTTTTCAAGTTCATAATTTAGTTTTCTGAAAATTATATTTACTCAAAAGTAAACTTTATTTACTAGATTTTTAGTTTATAACCCATGTTATTTGTTTTTGACTTGGGAATGTGCAAAATTCATGTTAACTAGACAATGACTTGTTCACTAGATATGATCAGAAAAATATCAGTTTAGGCATAATATGTGAAATCAACCTATTGTGGCATGAGATCAAGTTTCCATTACTACTTAAAAGTTAGAACAGCAGTGCAAGATGTTTTTCTTTGTTAGTTTCTAACCCATGTTATTTGTTTTTGACTTGGGAATGTGCAAAATTCATGTTAACTAGACAATGACTTATTCACTAGATATGATCAGAAAAATATCAGTTTAGGCATAATATGTGAAATCAACCTATTGTGGCATGAGATCAAGTTTCCATTACTACTTAAAAGTTAGAACAGCAGTGCAAGATGTTTTTCTTTGTCTTTATACAATTCCATTACTACAGCAACACAACAGGGAAAAATATTGAAATCATCCCAGGAGCTCATTTAAAAGGTATTTCTCTATAGGACTTTTCAATGTTCATTTCTGCAAAAATAAAAAATTAAAACACTGCAAAGAATGTAATATCTTTGCCTAAATTTCAGCTTGCATGGAAGAGGTCTGAGACATATACAACAAGCTTACTGAATAAGTATTGAAGTATTATTTACTCCCTGCAACTTTATCATCACTACATTAACGTATGACTAACTTTATAATAAAGCTAATATGAATATATTTTATTGTTTGTGTAAATGTATGAGTTTCCATACGAGTTATAAAAGCTTGTAAGGTATATTTAAAGGTACTTATTATCTTTAAGTATCATCTCTCTGATAATTATTTTTGCTATCAATCTTTTAGAAACAACTTAAAATTCCTAATCGGCTTGAACTGCATTGTCAATGGTTAAAAACACATTTTAAGAGTAGATCTTGACTGAAATTAATAAAATGCAAAGATAAGAAAGTACATAGGAAAACCTCTTCAAATCTTACTGGCAAAAAGCAACCGAAGACTCTAAATACAGTACTGTATAACCCAACAGATATTTTATCAGAAAGGTAAAATGGTTACAAGTTTACTAATATCAGAGAGTTGCAAGTTTACTACCATCACAGTTACTAATAGCACTTATTTAAAATCCATTATAACTGTGTCACAATTATTATCCAAAACCAAGATTACCCGTTTTTCTCTTTTAAGCAAACTTCAGCCTGTTCAATCTCTTAGTGATCGCCATTTCACAGCAGTCAGCCCACACAGAACAAATCAATAACATTACAGACACAAGACTAGACTGCATCCATTTAATAACCACAAGAAAAGTGTACCATTCAGCAGAATCTTACAGAGCTTTCACTAGTAGATACGTAATATGAAACCATAACTCTGCATATCAATTCATTTATAATTTTCTATTATCTCAGAAATGTTCTGGAAATGAAATAAAATCAGAACATATATTACATTCTAAATAACGAAGAGACAACCCAGGTGATCATATCCCTGAATAGCTTTGTCCAGATAACAGTAAGTCTAACAACTAGTTGCATTCCAGTACTTCCCTGAAACGACAAATTTATTTAAAATGCGGATTTTCTGCTGCACAACTCAGCGTTTATTACTATATACACTTCCCAATATTAAAGAGGCTTTTAAAAAATTCTAAACCTAAATGAAACTATTCTAATGTTACACATTCATATTTTATTTAAAAATTTTATAAATATAAAAAAATATTTTAATTATTATAAAACTGAAAACATTTTGGCTTTATTTTATAATCCTCCCAATTACTAGGTTGCAAAGGTGGCTTAAACACCCTGTTTCAATACTTTGCTTGAAGTAATACTCAACTTAATTATATTTCAACAATAATTACTTTGTTAAAAGTACTATGAAAAATGTAAATCTGCATTTGAATCATTATATTGTTATGAACTAATAGTGAAAAAGCATATACTTGCCTGAAGAACAAGATATAAGAAAAACAGCAAACACCAGCTTTGTAGCAGCTCCCATTTTCCAAATAGTTAGAATCAACAGGGGAAAAAATGCTATATCCACCTTCTGAGATCTTACAAACACAAAAATCCGTCCCTCACTTCCTCAAAGTGATAATAATGTATTTGGAAAATAACGCATCCATAAGAATAAAATCCAGCTTCTATAATATAGTCTCTCTAGCTCTTTTTCAATTGACCCTCCAGTACATTTGGAAACACACACATCATTTGGCTTCTGTCCTAACAATGGCAAAAAATCCAATTCATAAGAGGATGTTAACTGTTAAAAGATGAACAATTAACATTTAACAACGAAGCAGCTGAATGTTAAACTAATAACTGTCCCGAAGCACAATGTATTTTCTTCAATGTCAAATGGTATTTCCCATATGCCCTGGAAACAGGCAAAACGCACAAATATTAGTAAACAATACTGTCTTCACACTGCTTTTACACAATGTAGTATCTGGATGAGAAAACAGTTTCGTCTTCGTTTCAAAGTGTCAAAATAAATATGCCTTCGATGTAACAACCAATAGGAAACCAATTCGTAAAACACTGGTGTTTCCTATTAACAAATGTGGAGAGCAAACAAGAGGTAATCAGTCCTCTGTAAAATCACACATCTAAGGAAGGAATGGAGAGTCCTTATCTAGACAAGAAAAATACTTCCACTTGTTTATTCCATCCGTTTGTTTTTCCCATTTGCCCAACTCTGACAAGAAGTCCCCCATTCAAGTGCCCAGACTATACTTAAAAACCGCCTTTGTATTTGGTATCTGAAATCACATGAAAATGAGGGTGGGAAGGAGACGATGCTCTTTCCAGATATTAAAAGGTGATTTTTCTTCACGATTCTAAAAAAATCTTATTTTTTTTTTTTAAAAAAAAAAGACTCAAGAGCCTTCCGAGAGGTTTGCTGAAGTAGTAGCATAAAAAGGTCTCAAATAAAATAGGTGAAGCGATGCTCTAACACGGAGTCAAATACGGGTATATCGGTCTTTATAAGCGGCCGGGCTGGCGGGTAAAGAAAGATCTTTTCTCTTGGAGCAACAAAACCCGCTTCAAGCTCTTCGAGGCGTTTGTCGGCGGGCACCTCTTGTTTTGCCCTCCGCTCTCAACTGTCACCAATTCACCGTTTACCATCGGGTTTTACCCCTTCGATCGGTTTGGAGCCAGGCGGGCTTGGTTTTGTTTTTTTCGTCCGCGGTCCAATTTGGCTTTTGTTTGCTTCTCCTCCCTTTTTTTCCCCTTCTCCTTCTCCTCTTCCTCCTCCTCCTCCTCCTCCCTTTTCCTCACGCCCGCAGCGAGTGGATGAGAATGGGGCGGGTGAGGGCACGGAGCCCGGTCAATCCTTGCTCGCCTTTTTCTCTCCTCTTGTTGTGCCTTCCATGCAGCGTAGACCAGAGGAGCCTGTGCAGCGAGAACAAGGGAAGGCGGGCGGTCGAGGAGCCCCCTCGCCTTTTTTCTCCTCCTAACTCTTCCTCCCAGACTGCGAAAAGCCTGCTGCTCCGAGGTCCAACTCTCCGGTCTCTTGGATGGCGGCGGCGAAAAGGCGGCTAAGCCCAACTTTGAGCTCTGGGTAGCGAAGTTGAAGAGCCGACGGCGAGAAAGAGAAAGGGCCCTGCCGAGATTTTCCCTCGAGGCGGCGGCGGAAACCGAAGAACAGAAGGAAAGGGAAAGCACCGCTTTTATCGTCGCGCAGGCCCGGCTGGTAGCGCTGAGTAGCCCTCCGTACCTTGCTGCTCCCCTGTGGTAATTTCATAGCTACCCATTCACTTGCGTGGTGCAGAGAAGCGAGCCAAGATGGCGGCGCTCGAGCGATTGTTTTTGTTTCTTCTCCACCTCCCCCTTTTTTTTTTTTTTAATCTGCCCCCACCCCCAACAGCTCCCTCCTAGCGCACGCGCGGACCCACTCCTCCTCCTCCTCCTCCCCCCCACATCCCAGTCCGCTAATCTTAACCGCTGCCCTTCCAGGGGCGTGCGCGCGTTTGTGGGCCGGGATTTCTCTTGATTGGCAGGCTGCGCCAAGCCATTTGAAACGAGGACGGGGCCGAATGGTGGGTGGGGTTTCGCTCAGGGCCTTTCCCGCGCCTCGCGGGGTTTAGGGGACGCGATTCTCCCGCTTGTACGACGTTCCAGGTGTGGTGAAGGGCGGGTCGAGCGCGTAGCTGAGCTGCCAGGTTTTGTGCGCAGTGCAAACGCGATTTGAACTCTTTTGGATCTTTCCGTCAGAGCAACAATCTGCATATTTTAGCCTTAAGAGCAGAGCGGACCCTCTTAAAGGTGTGGTGCATGTGTGTATGCGTACGCTCGCACTCACACACAGATACATATGTGCATGTGTGCGTCTGTGTGAACATATGTGTTTATACACAGAGACATGCATGCGATAGGTATGACGTTTAGTCTTGCTGGGGGAATCGGGGGAAGGGGGAAATTGCTCCTCACACTTCCTTGGAATGTCGTGGAGATTCTCAATCATCCAGGTCATGGTTGTCTGAAAGGTGTTTCCCCCCCCCCCCAAAAAGCAACTAGACTTTCTTGGTTTTTAAACTTTTAGCTTCGCATCCAAGAAGCGTCTTCAGTTCAACTAAGAAAGTCCAGTTGCCTTTTGAAAAAAAAACAAAAAAAACACCTTTGGGACCACTTCCTTAGAAAGTACATCGTCTTTGAGTTCCTTGGGAAGGGCTTCCGAGAACGCAGGTCGCTTGAGAAGGTCGAATTGTGATTTATTTATTTTTTTACTCTTGCAAGAAGTCGTCCCAACCAAGAAATAGAGAAACAGTTGGGTCATTCAATGCTACTTCATTTGGCTCAATTAATTGGAAGTGAAAACAGGCTTGTCTGCTTACATTATTTGAAATATGAAATACGGGTGCATTAAAAAAAAACAGTGCATGCTCTCAGGATTTGTTTTGTTCCAACAGAGCTTTTATCTTGGCATGAGTGGTGCTGGTGGGGATACTCAGTGTTTTGAAAACTGAGATTACAATATGAAAGGGAAGCAGATGTACCTTTTGGATATAGCCACAAGTCCTATTAGGTGCTTAAATCTGCTTGTAAGGGGGAAGTCCAGAATGTTCTGGGTTGATTAATGCAAATGCTACAATATAAATGAATGTCCAAGTTACTATGGTGATGGACCCAGGCCTGTATAGATTACTATTATTCCTTAACCTGTATTTTATCAGAATTTTAATATATCATCAGAATTTTAATATATTCAGTGTGTGACTTTTATAAATTAAGCTTACAGTTTTGAAAAGTGCTAAACTTTGTTACACTTTTCAACTACTAGACAATAAGATTAGAGCATAATTTCAAGAGTGATTTTTTTTAAAGCATTGAGACTGAATAAATATATCCAGCAGGCCATTATTTGATATTATGCCTATTAAATTAGAATAATTGGGTTCAACCCTAATAGTTGATGGGATTGGACTGTAATGTTTTGCTATAGAATGGTTCTCTGTTTAGAGAACCATTTCATGTTTTTTATAAAGATAATCTGTGATCAAACATCTGTTTGCACTTGGTATGCAATTAACAAGTACAAAACAGCTCTAATAATCTGTCATTGAACTCAGAATCTTCATTAACTTCCTTATATGATTAAGGATCAAAATGCTTTCTTCCCACTATTATATGCATTAAATCTATTTTTTTTCTTTAAGATTTGAACTAAGACAGAAATAACACCTTTTCCCCTTGTAACCATAAAATCAATCATTAATACACTGATTTTTTTTCCAGCAACAACAAAAAATAATCAAGAAAAGTAGAATAAACAAAGTTACAGAACAAGATCCATTTGTCTGATTTGTAATGTCATACCTTTAAGAGTAAAAGAAGAACTCTTAGTTTCAGTATTCTGTGTGATTGTAGATCTTTTGTCTATATCTTCATGTCAAGAGTATTACATCATGGGGGTAAACCTCAGTAAGTAGAAATAAATCCCAAGACAGAGGTTTTCATTCTGAATATAAAGTAACCTGAGATGTTATGCAATCTTAGGGAGGAGCTAAAAATTCAGGGGTGTCAAACTGCCAGCCCGCAGCGGACTGGACACATCACCAGGAAACCACGCCCACCCCCTTGCCAGTAATGGAGAAAAAGCTCCAATACGTTGCGGGACATCGCAAGTTTGACATATCTGAGCTAAATGTATAATCTTACCTAGAGTCTTTTATAAACAAAATGCCCTTCTGGCACATGACTTCTGAATTGGGCTTTTGAAGCTATGCCTAAGCTTTTGAACTGGCACATAGATTTTCAAATCATTTTACAACTGCTCTTAAGGAAAAAAATCAAGTAATATATAGTCAATATTTCTAACCACGTTTACATTATTACCACCTCCATGAACATCCAAGATTATAATGTTGTTGTGACAATAGACTAAGAGACCCATTCCAAACAAGAAATTGACAGCAAAGACAAGGTTTCCTGAATTTGAAATGTGAACTCCAAATTATCTTTCCTCTTCAACTGCACTTGTGTTGAAAGTTTGAGTCCTTGTTGAACCTTTTGTTTTTGAGACCATTACTTGAAAAATGGTTATGGCCTTTTCCAGCTAAATAATGACAAATGAAAAGTCCATTCTGTACTTTGCTGCAGATGTAATCAATACCCTGGAGATGTTCTGGTTGGTGTCAGTCACAACATTACTTTTGAGAACTGTATTTTATATGAAGGCATATGAAAATACTACGGAAACTTGCTAAGTAATGTGAGTTATTCATCAGGTGAATAGAGCAAATAATAAAACCAGATGGAATAGCGATTTCATATAAGTCCTTTAAAAGGTTCAACAAGGACTCATAAACTTTCCATGTGTTAGTGCAAAGTAAATATCCACACTGAACAGTGGTTGATGTCTTGACAAATACCTCAAAGAATCAACCACAACACAAAATACTAATTATTTTCAGCTGACTTTCCCTTTTCCTACAGCATTCATTTTTATGATAGAACACACAGTACAATATTTCAGAAATAGTGCATCAGAAAATTAATTTTAATCTAAAAAGCTTTTGACAATCTTACATGGATGTTGCAACACAAATATAAGCTTGGCCAAAACAAACAAACAATAAACTTCAATGATCAAATGGGGCAAAAATCAGACTTAATTGCAATTTCTATAGGCATATTGTGGGTGGGAGTGCATTACAAAAGATGCACCATGAAATGGAAAAAGCAAATTTATGTATTTAGTCAGACACTGAGGTGCAAGTATGTAACAGAGAGATTGTACTGTGCTGTCACCATACATATATCATCTTGACACCTGCATTTGCTTTGGATATCTATATACTTATGTATCATGAAAAAAATATCTTTTCTCCTTCGACAAAATAATGTTCCTAACTGTGACCTTGTGAAAACAGAATAGAATCCATCATTACTGTGTTTGTGTGTGTTTTTAAAATATAGATGCTTGCCTCCAAAGTATTGACATATGTTGAAAGACGGATTAGAAGCTGTGGATAGTGAGGTATTACGATGGGGGGGAGGGGGGAAGGATGCCAGACTAAAGAATATCTCTGAGGAAAAAGTCTGTGTAAAAAGGAAGGGAAGGCTAGAAAATATATAGGAAGATGTTAACTTATATTGTATATGTTTAGACTTGTCAGAACTGGTTCAAAACAACTTAAGAATTTTTTAAAATGCAACATTAAGTACTATACCTTTATTGCAGTTAAAATAATTTAAACGTGATGTTTGCATTCACATTTGCAAACATGTCACAAGATTTCAAATATTAAGGATTTGGGCATGGCACTCCTTTTTCTCTATCGGAGTATTCCAAACTTGGAATGCAGCCATATTTCCAAAAGCTCTAAAAAAAAAAAAAAAACCCAACCCTTTTCCTATTATTTGCAATTGGATTTTTTTAGTGTAGGGTTTAAAGTGACAGCAAAGTCACTTTAGTGAAGAATTGGGTCAGTAGTAGGAATATTTCACTAGGTTTTTTTTTTTCTTTTTTGTTTCTTGTTATGAAGTTGGTCTACCTTTATGCCTTAATTCTGGGTTTTGCTACAAAATTTTGCTTGAAGGCTTTAACTTTATTACACTGTAAATATAACATCCTGTACTTGATCTAGTGAAAATCAAAATGTCAAGCAATTCACAGGCTTTTTTCCCATTTTATCACTATTAAATCTGTCCTTGGAATGTGTTAATATAAAATGGAATTTTTATCTTTTTGTGCCTCTAATCACAAGCATTAGCGCGTGTTAATGGCACAATAGTATTTTAAACCACGATCATGCTCAGAACAAATGAACATATCAAATACTGGTCATTTCTTCTTAATTAAAATGTATGTAATAAATAAAGAAAATATTCTGCAATCCCAGGTTGGCCAAGTTTTAAAAGCTGTACCTTCACTTTCCTTTAACTTGGGATATTTGTCATTTTGTTATATAGTACAAAAAATGATAGGATATACTGAAATACTTTGGCAGCTGCTGTTTGTGCCAGCTAATTTGAATTGAGTTATAAATATTAATTAAATCTTGCAACACCTTGTTTAACCTGCAATTTTAATATACTTTATCCCAACATGTTCTACAAGTTTATGTATAACTACATCAGGTCCAGCTACTTCTGAATAACCATCACACAGTTAAAATTACAAACAGATTTATATCAGTTATTATCAATCCCAGTATGCTCTAAACATATTAACTTAAACTCCTATACTTTCCAAATACTGTGGAAATCCTGGGAGATCTTCAGCCTGCATGGTCAGAACATGGCTTACACAGATTAGAATTTTTTTTTTTTTACATTTAGAGAGTAACATATTGAGGAAGCCTCAGCTGCCATATATTATTTTTGCCA